TTTTCCGAGGAGCCTCTGCACCCTCTGCATTAACGCAGAGTGCATTGGAAGAGAAATGACATTAATGGAGGTTGAGAAGAGGATGAGCTGTCGAAATACTGGAGAAGCATGGAGTTTAAAGCAGTGGGGCCCTGTGGGCTGTCCCTATTCCTTCCCAGCCGTTGGAAGTTGCTGCAAACATGTCAAGTCCCAGATTGGATTTCAAAGCCAGAGCATAACCAGGGTCTGGTCAGAGTGGGGAGCTAGCTTCCTCTTGAGCAGCTGCAGTAGAGTTAGGGAAGGTCTGGTTATCTCGAAGATAAGACTCCAAAGTTAGGTTCTGAAGGCTAAATAGAGACAAGGGCAAAGTTCATGCTCGAGCGCCAGCTGTATGCTTGGTCCTGAGGACACAGTGTGTCTGCTCCCGAAACTTACACAGGGCCCAGGAGAAGCCCAGCTGAGAGGTCAACCAAAGGCTCCTTCTCTTCCAAGATCTTTTGCTGGACTTTGAACTCACTTTTACAGGCAAACTCAATTCCTCCCTAGTCACATATCCCTGAGCCACCCATATAAGGACCGTCTTTCCTTCCCCAACCAAAAAACCCATATTTAGTTATTGGATCCTATTTCAGCTGGAAGCAGGAGTATAACTTTTGCTTTTCAGTAATGATTCACTCTGTGTCCTCTCAGAATTATAGGGTCATGAAGTTAGGGAGGGACCATACAGAACTGTTAATTATCCAGATGCATTCTTAACAAGTCTGGCTACTTCACATCTTGTTCTTCTGGTGGAATGTCTGTGTTGATGTTGATGCTTCGGCGCTCTGACCAAGTACGGTAGGTCCCACAGCCCAAGGGGTGGAATGGTGGCTGGACCCTCGCTGGCCCACCCAAGCTGTGGCACTGTGTGGTTCTGGCAACCCGTTGGGGAAATAGCTGTCCAGTTTTGCCACTAGATGGCACTGTTCATTTTTTGGCTTTTACCCAAAGTTGCCTACCTCCTTTGGAGGGGACATGTGGGAGAAATTCCAAAGAGGTGCCATCATGTTCTCAACCAAATCAAGCTCTTTACAGCTTAGTTTTAAAATAAATATTAAGTGTCACAGGTTTTTATGTAAAATAAACTCTCACATTCTACATGTGATTGTAATAGCTTGTACGGTGTCCAAATAAACAGCAGAGACTGGGTTACGACTTTCAAAACGCTTTTGGCGGTCTTCTGGTCGGGCTGTTTGTGCGGCCTCCGGGATGCGTCCTCGCTGACCAGACCATTTGCTGAGCCATGTGGGGTTTGGATCTGGCTAGTCATACTGCAGGAGAGAGGGGTGAAGATCCTCCTCTCCCAGGGAAACCTCAGGGACGCCCTCCTCCCCCTCATCCTTGCTGGTCAAGGTTCTTGGGTTGCAAATGACCAGAAACCACTCCTGGTCAACTGACTCTGAAAGGAGGTTTATTGGCAAGATCGCAGGTGGTTCTGAGTGTATGGGAGGCGGGAGAACGGCACTCAGAACAGGGGCAGGGATTCAAGGAGGCTGAGTTGGCTGGAATCAGAGCCAAAATCAGGCCCTGGAATAGTCTGGAGAGGGTGTCACTGCTGTTGCCGCTGTTGGCGAGGACTGGACCCTGGGCGCCATCCTTGGCACAGCTGCCACTGCCATTCTTGCCGCAGGGTTTATTTTAAACGGTCCACTGCGTCTCTGTGTCACTGGCTGCAGATTCAGTCAGTCACCAAGTGACAGCATGCAGCAGAACCTACTCCCCAAAAAGTCTTTGTGTGCAGAGCTGGTACTCACCTACACATTGTCATTGTCGCCCACGACTGTCATACTAGTTCTTAAAATATCAAACTGGTGCCCTACCACCCCAAGCCCGTCTGCTTCCAGCTTCTTACAGTCAGTCCAGCCACCACATGGTTAACACCTGGCACAGGGAGGGTCCTCGCAGAGACGGCTTCCGCTGGCACCTACTGGTAGACAGTTGTGGCAAAGTTATGGATAGTATTTTGGAGATTATCCCTGACCATGTGTACATCAGATTAGTTTGTAAGTAAGAGGGGGCTGGCACTTAGAAGTCACTAGTATGTATGCTGAGAAATATAAAAGGTGCGAAAGGCTACCCACATTTGATAGTGATGACTCATCAGTGTGAGACAGGCATCCTTTGTGTCTGGTTCAGAGGACATGTCCATTCATCTCTTCCCCTGCCTAAGAATGCCCTTGTGCTAGGGACTTGTACAATTAAGATGAATTTAACTAAACCATACTGAGGAAATTGGTAAATGAATTATAGAGTGGTAATACTATGAAATATTATACAGCCATTAAAATGATGGATATAATGGCTGTCCAAGTCCAGGAAATGTTAATGAAACATTTAATAAGAGTTAGAACACAAAACTGTTGGCTCAGCGGTTGGAGCATCAGTGTGCGGACCAGAGAGTCCCGGATTCCGTTCCTGCTAGGGGCACGTATCGAAAAAAAAAGAACGCAAAACTGTCTAGATGTTATGGTTACAACTATATAAACGCTATTTATGCAAATAGATAAAGGTGGAAAGACTAGTAAAGGAATAAAAGTACTTTCTGTGAAGAGCTCCATGGTTGAATCAATACCATTTCTTCAATAGTGCTTTAAAAGTTGAATAGATAAAACCTTAACATAATAAAGTTGATCACTAAAATTATTTTCATGAAAAAGTTTGGATGCTGTCACCACAGCCCTTGTGGTCCCGGATGCGAGCTGATGTATCATCCAGCCAGGGCTGGAGGCTGCCGGGGCGTTCAGGACAGGAAGGTGTGCTCCTCCGCTGGGAGAACGGCTGTCTCCACCCTTAGAGGAGGATCCGAGGGGGCGGTTGAAGGTCACGGACAGTCCCAGGTGGATTGACAGTGACAGAGGCAGTTACTGCTGATTTGGGCGCCTAGGACTTGGAATGATTTCCTCGTCGCCCTGAGCTCTCTCCTCGGGCGGTTCCAAGGATGCTGAGCAAGGCAGCCACCCGGAAAGGGAACACGTGCCGTGTTCAAAGGAAACCAAAGCATGTCTCCTGTGCAGACCCTCAGACCACACTGACCTTCTTATTGCAGGGTTTACGAACCTGAGAGCTGATTTCCTCTACATCACTGCTTTTCACACTTTAAAGTGCATAGGGACCAGCTAGGGATCTTTTTAAAACGTAGATTCTGAGGGGGGGAAAGGAGGGACATCTCTAATTTTTTAAAATATTAATAAACTAAGTATTAAAAACTAAAAAATTATTTATATCAAAAAATAAATTGCAGATTCTGTTTCCTCCTCACCTCCTCACCTCCTCTCCATCCACCTCTGTCCTCCCAACCCTTCCTGTCCCTGTCCTTTCTCCCAGCTCCTCTCCCCTTCCTCTCGCTCTCCCCCTTCATACACTTCTCTTTTCCCTTTTTCCCTCCAGAAACTGAAGGCGCATCTCCAGGTCTTTAAGCCTCATTATGTTTCCCAAACTGACTCCCTAGGAGCTTCGTAGCCTGTTTCAGCGCATGCATTTCTTTTGGAAAAAATCTTTTAAAAATTAATTAATAAATAAAAATAAAATGCAGATTCTAAGGGGGGGGGAGGAGAGCCATCTGTAATTTTTAAAATATTGATAAATTAAGTATCAAAAAATAAAGTATTTCTATCAAAAATAAAATAAAGTGCCGATTCTAGCTCAGTTGGTGTAGTCGGAGTCTCTGCGTTTTTAATGAGCTCCCAGCTGATGCCAGTGCTGCTGTCTGTGGACCACAGAACAGCAGGGCTCCAGGTGTCCTGCAGACTCCTTTTCAGATTGCCCTCCTGACGTGCTACACCTTGCTGTCCGGACCACGTGCAAGACCTGTGCTTTGAGCACAAACACTGCCGAGAGCACTTGAAGAAGACCTGCGTAAAGGGAGACATTGTTATTCTCATGAATTGGAAAATTCAACATTGTTAAAATGTTCATTTTCCCCAGATTAATCTATAGATTCAACATGATCACAATAAAAATTCCAGCAGTCTTTTGTTTTGGGTAGAAGTTGACAAGATGATGATTCTAAATTTTATATGAAAATGCAGAGGACCTAGAAGAGCCAAAATGATTTTGAGAAAGAGCGAAGTTGGAAGAAGACTCACTCTACCTGATTTCAAGACTTACTATAAAATTATATAATCAAGACAATGAGTTATTGGATAAAGACAGATCAATGGAACAGAACAAAGTCTAGATATAGACCTACACATATGTGGCCAAATGCTAAATTGTATTATGCTAAGGGAGAGAAGCCAGGTACAGAAGGTTACATGCACTATGATACTATTTATATAAAATTCTAGAAAAGAAGGAACTGTAGTGGCAGGAAGCAGATCAGATTGCTCGGGACTGGGGACAAGACCGTATTAACTGACAGGTTATCCATTTGAGTGGCGGGGGTAAACGCAGTGCCTAAGAGCCCGGCTTCCCGTAGCAACTCTGCCACCTTGGCAGGCAAGCTACTCACCTCTCTGTGCCTTGGTTTCCTCATGTTTATGAACTAATACAGTGTTAGTGCTTACCTAGTAGGGTTGTTGTGAGGATCAAGTGAATCAATATGTTTAAAACATCTAGAACATTTCCCTGTGCCTAATAAGCTATATGTATTAATGCTGCTGCTGCTGTTGTTATTATTGTTATTGACCTCTGATTATATTGTGATTTTACCTTTCTTCTAAAATTTGGTTCTTTCTTTCACCCTTTCCTTGACCCATGTGCACTCTTGTAACTTGAGGGTTTCACTCGAATGTTAGAGCTAGAAGAGATCGCGGACAGTATTAAAACTAAGTATGGGTGACAGCTGAGGCCAAGGAGGTTGAGTGATGTCAAGGTCATGTAGTACGTAGCAGACCAAGAACCAGAAGCCTGGCCACATCAACGCCTGGTTCAGCTCTGCTTTATCAAGGCGATAGGTGTTGTTTTCATTTTTAATGTGAACCACGGGGATTTATCGGGAACCTGCCATTCATGGTTCCATTGTGTGGTTTGTTTTTCTGCAGAGCAGTTCGGAGCCCCAGCTGCAGAAGACGCCCTGTCACCACCATGAGCTCTGGTAAGTCATTAAACCCTTTCCTCTGGACAGATCTACAAAACTGGGCAGTTTACCCAGACTTCCTACGTACTCTGAAGGTTCTAACCACGTTTCTTTTTATTTGAGACCTGGGTAAGTGCCAAAGCTTTGGCAGAAGTCGTGTCACTATCATCACATCCACTCTAAAGGGATTATTACCTGCCATGTGACAGGAACTATGCCACACACGGTACCTGACACTCCCAATCTTTGTAATAGCTTCCTTTCTCTCTATTTTTAACAACTTTATTGAGATATAATTGGCATACAATAAACTGTGGATATTTTAGGTATACAGTTTGATAAACTTTAACATGTATACACCTCAGTGGCATTTCTTAATCCCAGGGACCACAGCAAAAGTAAACAGATTTGCCTATGGTAGTAAAAATCAAGACCTAAACAAATGAGCCGTTTTGAGTATGTTGAATCTAGAGCGGGGTGGAAAGCACAGGCTGGCGAGACGGAGAAGGGACAGATCCCTGCCCCTGCAGCCAAGAGCTGCCAGCCCGCCAGCCCAGAGCGTGAGCAGAGAGGTTTCCATCTGGAAGCTACGGCCTTGCCGGCCTCCGCTCCGGAGCCTGCCGGGGCCCCTGGCGACCTGTGGCCGTGGGGCGAGGGTGACCCGGGGGACAGCTCCCTCAGGGTATCCTGATCCTGCGTTATTTCCCGAGTGTTCCAGAGACCCCTGTGGGTGAACACTCTTTCCATTTGTTGACACACAGTGTCCTTTTAGCCAGGTTCTAAACTGGGCAGGACAATGTGTGCTTAGGACCGAGGGGGCTCTGGGTGGAATAGCTCAGGGCCACAACTTAGCTTGTGTGACCTTGGGCCTGTGGTGGACCCTTCTCCTCTAAAACAGGACGTCCTCAAGGCACCAGCTCACTGGGGTGTGGGGCAGCGCTGCCTGCACACGGAGGCCTGTGCCCAAGGCTCGGCCAGTGTGCCCAGGGCTGCCAGCTCTCATGTCCTCCCTGAGCAGAGGGGCTGGTCCCTGCTGCCCTCGGGGCTTCTGCTGTGCTCAGAGGCCGCCCCCCCCCGCCCCCCCCGGGGCTCAGGCACTGCTGGCAGCCCCCGCTTCGTCTCATTATTTGGTTTTATTTAACTTTTTGTTTTTTTTAAACCTTTGCTCTGCAGCCTAAAGTGTTTTGTTCTTCTGAGATCAGAATCAGCCTAGCCGGGCATCGCTACTTACTGCTGGCGAGTAAGGGCAGAGGAAGTAGGAAGGGAGGGGCGGGGAGGCCGGGCTGTGGGGTGCCTGCGGGGCTTCTCCCAGCTTCGCCCTCTGCTGGGCTGCCAGGAGGCTTTTCGTACGGAGTCCAACGCGTCCGGACCCTCTGGCCTGATAACCCCACTCCCGGGAATTTCTATCTCAGTTCAAGGAAACGAAAACGTCTCCCATGAAGGTGGGAATCGGGAGGTGCGCTGTATTCACTTGATGGAATACCATGCCACTGTTCACATGGTCATTAGGGAGCAAGCAGCTGTGTGGAAAATACTTGTTTTAACCTCGGAGACAGAGCAGCATGAAAACGATGCATTCTCTTTATTCCAAGTCGGGACTGGGCTGCCAGTTGCCGAGAGAGGCGCTTCCCTGCATTCCCTCATTTCGTTCTTCCGGCAAAGCCGCAAAGGTGGGCATGGTCCACCTCCCCCATCCTGGAGATGGGGAAACTGAGGCCCGGAGGGCTAGCCATGGGCATCACCGGTTAGTGTGCAGTGGAGCTAGGCCAAAGCAGACTGTTGGACACTAGCACACTGTGCTGCGGAGTTTGAGTTAAGGGGATGGAATTCTTTTTCAAAATTTCTTCAACTTAGCTGTGTTTAATTGAAAGAAGGAAAGAGGAAAGGGAAGACACGGGGCTGGAGCTGGTGGAAGCTCAGCGGCGGCCCATGCGGGCCTGGGGGGATCCGGAACACAGTCTACCAAGTCTGCGGTCCTAGAAAGGAGACGGCCAGGAGGAATCAGGGCAGCCGTGTGGCCAGGATGGTCAAAGGGCGGAGGGGGAGTAGGACCTGTGATGTTTATTTCACTTGGATTTCTGGCCTTACTGCCAACACCCTCCTTTCCTGCGTCCAGCAATGGAGGCGCGAGGGAGCCTTGGCATCCGGGAGAGCTGGCCTCCACCGCCGGTGGACTGGAGGTGGGAAACAGGACGGAGCCCGCGGGGCCATGTCGGGCGGTCCAGGCTGCCAGAGGGAGGGGCCGTGGCCCTGCTCCTATCTGCCTCCCGGAGCATCCAGGCTGGCCTGACAGGGAGGCTGAGTGTTAAGGGACTAGGTAGGGCGGCCTTGTCTCAGCCAAATGAGCTACTGGGTTTGGGGACAGGGCCTCAGTGTCCGCAGCTGAGCAGGACTCAGACAGATCTGGCTGACCCAGAGAAGGTGACGTTGCCTCAAGGAGCATAGGATTTCCTCAGGTAAGAAAAGGAGGAGGCAGTCTCAGGCCCAGGCTCGAGGGTGGTGAGAGGAGGTGGACGTGGCAGGCAGGCGAGGAGGAAAGAGCAGCCGGAAGCGGGCTGGGACCTGGGTGAAGAGCCTCCAGCCCGGCTGAGGTGCCCGGGCTTTGTCCCGTGGGTAGCTGCTGGCCATCGGGGCTTGTGTGTTTGCTTAGATTATCAAGATCGGTTCATTAATTTAAATACAATCAGGTATGTCAAGATACAGGTCATCCCTCCTAAAAAACTATATTCTAAACAATCATTGGTACATTCTGGGGAAGTTGCAATATATTTCCCCATGGAAATAATGTAAATAAGTGGTTAAATTCCCAAACTAAACCCCAGTAGTTTTACTTTTAAAGCAGAGTGAAATCCAGTAGCGGGAGTTTAGACAATCGTATTGCATTGCACCGTTTAGTGTTCATCTGTCCCGCACCTGGGGCCTTTACCAGGCGGTGGTCAGGTCAGGGCTGGAAGGTGCTTTCCGATGCGGACTGAGGATTGGGGCAGAGAAGGGGCAGAATGGAGGCAGGGAGGGCAGTCAGGAAGTCATGTCATCTCTGGGCAATAACACAGGAGCCTCAGCGGAGGGCCGTGGGCTGGTGAGGAGCGGGCAGTGTCTGGGGAGGGACAGCATGGTCTGGTGGCCGCAGGGCACAGGCTGGGGGAAGGGAAGTATCAAAGGGCTGCCGTTTCAGTTGTCTGGCGGCTCCCTGGATGCACAGGGACGCCTGTGAGCTGGCCTTTGAATGGGTAGATAAGCCTTCGTCAGGCAGGAGATGCCATTTCGAGGGAATTAAGCGGATTTTTTAAAATGTCAGAAATGAAGCCATAGCAAGAAGGCAGGCGAAGTTACATCACCCACCATGTATTTCCATCCCAAACAACTTTTGCCTTCTCCCCTGGTTCGGGCTGCTCACAGTTCTCAGAATTCTCCCACGATGCCTGAGGGGGCCGTCCCCAGGCCTGAGACCACCTGCCTGTCCCCAGCACCTCCCATCCGGTGGGACTCATCAGCATTGGGGAGACCTTGTTCATAGCCTCATGCTTTTCTCTCTCATTCCTTCAGAATGTGATGTTGGCGCTTCAAAAGCTGTGGTGAACGGGTTGGCACCAGGCAGCAATGGGCAGGACAAAGGTAAGGCCCGGACAGGGAAGCCCGGCTCGGTACTGGGAAGCCTTTCCCGAGGAGCAGAGGATGCCAGGCCTGTCCACCTGCCTGGTGGGAATAGTCCCTGGTCCAGTCAGGCTGTGAACCGAGACCTGTTTCCCACACTGACTCTCTGAGACTGTGAGCGTGATCCTGCGCTCAGGAGTCAGGCTGCTGTTTCCCACTGTGAGGCGACTCACTGAAACTGTCCCTGGCTCCCAGGATGTGCCAAACAGCAGAGCAAACACAGACGGAGGTGCGCCTCCCGCCTGGTGCACGTGGCGCTATCCGGCCTGCGGTGCCCTGACCTCGCGTTTCACCCTGGCGGTCCTGGCCCTGAGGCAAGCGCCCGAATGGCTGAGACAAATTATGTATTTCAGTGGCGTTCATGTCGTGCACATCCTCTCATATTTTCAGTTTTTAAAAATTTTAGGGCCAAAAATTTAAGTGTGAAATGAGTGATGGATAAGATGACCCTTGAGGTCCCATCCGCCCTGTCGTTTCTCATCCTGAATGTCTCGACGTGGCTGCTGAGCAGCTTCCTGTATCCCGTCCGCAGTGCGGTGTGGGGTGGGGGATAAGATACAGGTTCAAGTCCCAGTCCTGCCGCTCAGACATCCCAGGGGTCCTTTGTCCTTATGGGTATGAACGCATCTCTAGAAAACACAGGAATTGCACAATCTGAGTATTTATTCCTGCTTCCGGTACCGGGTGCCCATGATTCTGCCTGTGCTCGTCCCACTGAATTTTATGGTACCAAAGAGGGAGGGCAAAAGGCCTGTCATTGGGCATAAGTGATTTCAGAGTTTGACAGGTTTGGCCTTTGTAATTTTCACCTGGTTTGGCCAAGTATTCCTTCTGAGACAAGGCCAAATGTAAAGTCAGAAGGAAGAGCCAGAGGGGGGAGGCATGGAGAGCTGGAAGGATGGGGGGTGGGGACGGGTTCCGCTGGCAGCAGGTGTCCTGCTGCTGGCCTGACCTCCCGGCCTCCCTGCCTGGCCGCCCTTCTCTGCTCATGGTGCGGGGCTGTGTTCTTAGGGGCTGTTGAAGGCGGTGCCTGTGGCGTGGCTCCAGGGGAGGGTTGAATCATCCAGCGAGGAGCATGGGAGAGGCTGGGACTCTGATGCTTTTAAAACCTGTGGGGCCATTGACACCATCCCTGTGAACTCACTGGGAGAAGAGACTTCAGGGGTTTCTTCCTGGGAGGAGGGTGTCAGTGGAGGTGGATTCCCCTCGCTCTTCTGTAAGACTCAGCTTTGGTTGGCAAGAGGAGACAGGTGCAGCCTGCAGGTCGCTGTGGTGGCCTGAGACAGCCGAGCTCTAGTCCCGGCCTTTCCCCTTGAGAGCTGGATGCTCTGAGCAGCTCTCTGAGCCTCTTGCTGCTGCTTCTGAAAAAGGTAAGAGAACGAAAGCCTCCCACCCAGCAGCCTCCCCGCCGGACTACTGCTGTGAAAGCATGTTGTATCTTCACGCCTGCAGCCCTTCCACGACCCGGCTCTCCTGAAGCTCCGCTGGGTGTCAGGGTCCGGGGCTGTGCACTCGGGTGCTGCCCATAGTCTTGAACACGCACTCGTACCCTTGGCAACCTCTTGCCCAGGAAAGGGTGACTTTAAGCAAGACCATCTGCTGCCCGACAGATGGGGCTTCTGATTTGCTTGGGGACAGAAGGCTGTGATTGTCAGCAGACACGGACCCCAGAAGTCACAATTCTGGGGAAGCAGCTGTGATGGCTGAAAGAACCAGGCAACTCACAAACTCATTCCTTCCCTTCCTCCACTCACCTGGGGCCTGAGCTGTAGCTCTCCTTGGAGCCCTCCTCCCAACACAGACATCCGACATTCTCGGGGGCCCCTTGGGCCCCGATTGCTCTCCCCTTCCTCTATTTGCCAGGCCATCTGCATCTCTAAATCTTGGCAAGTTCCTGGTGTGGCAGGAGGTACAGAGTCACTGACCAACTGCATGCGGGTGACGGTTGGAGGGAGGGTTCTGCCATCTGGGCACAGAACTCAAACAGGAGAAAGCAGGTTATTTCAAATGACTCCATCTACCGCTCTTTCTAGTGTTTTTTTCATGTGGCCGGCTTCCTCCTATTGTCCCTGCCCAGTTCCTCAACTGCCTGAGTATTTCCCAGTGTTCTTCCTGGAGGCACCATGTACCCTTTTGTGTTCGCAGCAGCTGCCGACCCCTTACGTGCACGCTCTGTTTCTGCTGTTAAAATAATTCCTGTGAAGACAGTGAAAAGCTCTTCAGGCCTAGTACTCCCTCCAGGTACCTCTCCTTGGGTTGGCTTCTTTTCTGTAATTGTCAGCAGATCATGCATGGTGTTCCTTTCCTCCTTCATTCTAACAAAGGCTTGGAGGCTTAATCTTTGCATGTGTAGGAGCCATTCCCACTCACTTTCTCGGCTGGTTTCCTCTCTTCCTCGGTGTGTGTGTGTGTGTTTCTGTGAGCCAGCCAGTCTGGAGACAAACGGGCAGATTAGGAGAAGGGTCATCCAGGGGCTAAACATTTCCTGTGCAGGTCTGAGGTGCATGGACTTCTCAGGTTCTCCCTAGAGGTCTCCAGTTCCCAGGACTTTATTTGGAACTTCAGTCTCCTCGAGAATTCATGTGGTTGCACGAGGAACCTCTGAACTGGGCTGAACTTGAGCAGCTACCCTGGATGCCACACCTGGATGCCCCTCTGGTGCTTGCTGGGTCACCTCCCGAGCGCTCCCTCCCCAACCCCAGCTGCACCTGCAGTCACTCTCTGCCTCCTCTCTCCAAGAAGGGGTCCAGTTCAGTGCCAGCTCCTACTCACAGCTCCTCTGAGGAAGCAGGACCAGCGAGGCCCAGGTGGCGCTCATCCCGGGCGCTTTCGGGAGGTGGGCACATTTGGCTGTGCGTCCAGGAACCCACGGGTGGGCTGGATTTGTCAGTTTACCCCTCATGCTTTTGGTTTTTGTTTTTTAGTTTTTTTCCTTTATTGATTTTAGAGAGAGAGGAAGAGAGAGGGAGAAAGATGGGAACATCGATGAGAGAGAACATCGATTGGCCGCCTCCTGCATGCCCCCCACTGGAGATCAGGCCCACAACCTGGGCATGTGCCCTGACCAGGAATCAAACTGGCGACCCCTTGGTGCAGGGGTCGATGCTCAACCACTGAGCCACACCGGCTGGACTGCACCTCGTCCTTTTGAAAAGACAGAGAATCAGTCTCCCACTGGTTCTGTGACATCAGCGCCTTATCCTCTGGATGGAGTTGGATAAGTCAGATGCTCCCCGAGGCCCCGGCCCGCCGTGCTATCCATTGTGTCTTTGTGCATTGCTTTCAGGGCAAGAGGTGCTGATGGGGCAGATCCGTCCTCTCCTGCTACGCTAGTGACCACTCTGCCTGAGCTGGCAGACAGGGCTGCTGGAGTGGACACGTAGACAAAGGCTTTGCTTTTCTCCGCCTGGCACAGGGGATGAGGTGGACGTCTGCGCCCACATCCTGTCCAATGCCCACCTTAAACTAGACCCTATACTCCCAGGCTAGACAGTTTTCGGTCAGAGATCCCAGCTGTGTGGTGAGCAGTTTGGAAAATGAACTGTGGGATTCAGCGCAGCTCCGCTGCACCGAGGGAAGCACCGAGCACGTGCCTGTGAGGACTGCGGGCGGCCGCAGGGCCGCGTTCCCGGAGGGCGGGCTTCCAGCTCTTTTGAAGCCTATTTCGAAATGGCTCTCAGTGGGATTCTGAGAGATGACCTGGGCCTGTCATTAGGCCATTGTCAACTGCAGGAGAGGTCGGGACCCCGTGACGGCTCAGCCGGGGCTGCGGCGCACACTGTTCATGAAAGGATTTAGCGTTTCTGGCTCCTCCTTTGGTGTGAATTTTCTTCATTAAGTTTGGAATGTGAGGCTCTCTCACCCATGGTCTTTCTCCCCAGGCAGCAGATCCTGTCTCATCTTTTCAGGGGTCCTGACTTGCTGATACAGATTTCTTTTCCTTTTTCCATTGGAGAGAGATTCTCTGCAGAAAACCACCTAATTCCTGATGTTGCTAGCTGGAGCTTTTATAAGACGGATGGTCTGGAAGCTTGAGAAATCTTTCACAAACTCTTTCTTGAACTGTGCCTTACTAATTGGTCCGATGTCTGCTCACCAACCTAAACTTCATTTAATAAAAGAAATAAACCTGCTTTCATTTTGAAATGACTTCAGCTGATACTGTAACTCATCCATTGACTCCATTTCTCCCTAACTGCATAGTGAGTGGTAAACCTCTGAAAATGTGACTTGTTCCTCTTCACCACCCACAGATTAATTTTCATAGACCATATGACTGCTACAGCCAGGTTCATCTCATTCCCCAGCTCTAACAAGTTTCGAGCTGACTATTCTTAATCCTTTCGGAGCCTCGGATTCAGTCCTCTCTTTGGGGTTTTTCCTTTTCAGACATGGATCCTACAAAAGTCTGCACTGGGAAGGGAGCCGTGACTCTCCGGGCCTCATCCTCCTACAGGGACACCCCAAGCAGTAGCCCTGTGAGCCCTCAGGAAACCCCGAAGCACGAAAGCAAATCAGGTGAGCCACCCCTGTGACTAGGGGCAGGTGTGTAAGCCACATGGAAGGGCATGGATTCATCCGCTGCTTCCTGATTCTCTCAGCGGCCCATGGGGCAGTCAGCTCCTTGTCCCACCTGTGGTGGGTGGTGATCAATGCCCTGAACTGACAGGTACTCATTTGCCTCTGACAAAGGCACAGTGGCAACCACCAGTTTATTTTAGCTTTTGACTGAACAGATGAGCAGAAACCCTGCGACGGAGCTGGTGGTTTTGCAGGCTGCACTGCTGCGGACATGGGGAGGGAGTAGTGAGAGGGGCCAGCGGTTGGGTCTCTGAGGACTTGGCTGTGACTGGGGCTCGGAGGAAGCCAGGGGCACCGAGAAGTGCAAGCAGCTGACCGAAGTGGCTCCCAGGAAAGCAGGGATGGGCAGGGCTCAGGCCTGGGGGGAGCCGAGGGAGCAGAATCAAAAGAGCAGTTCTGAGGCCAGTGCAAACAAGGAGCAAAGGGAGACAGAAGAAGCTTGTCTGGAGCCCCACCCACCCCGACCTGTCACTCGGGAAGCCTGGGTGTCTAGAGCATGCTGTTGAGGTTTAGACCTGGGACTTTGGAACCTGGTGGATCTGTGTTCAAGTCCTTCACCACCTGTTGGCTATGCAACCTTGGACATGATATTTAGTCTCTCCGCCTGGCAGTCTCATCTGTAGAATGGGGTTGATCGCTGCAGCTGCCTCACAGCATGGTCGTGAGGGTGCAATACGGGAAATGTTCTGCACCACACCTGGTGGCAGAGGGTGACCTGCATCTGCTGCAACAGGAGGGGGGGGGGCACTACCTTGGGGAGCGCTTTCTGGCCTTGGGTAAGTCACGCCTCTGAAACACATGAAATCTGGGGCACTTAGGCAAATGGCTTCCAAGCCATTCTAGTTCCAAAATGCTCTGTAACCTTGGGAAGATGGGGTTATTTCGGCCTCTCTGGAGAGGGCTGTTCACAGCCAAGTGCCCGGGAGCTGGGAAACGCTGACTTGGAGGTTCCATGGGCGCTGTTGGTAGAGGCTGGGACAGCCTCTCTCCACTGTAGGGCGGTGAGTGGTTCTCACCGGAGCTGCATCAGAACCGCCTCGAGTAAAACAGTTCCTGGGCCCCCAGGCCAGAGGTTTAGAGGGCAGGATCCCAGCTGGAAGGTCCGGGGTAGGGTTTGAGGTGTTGCATTTCTGACAGGTTCCCAGGTCATGCTGATGCTGCTGGTCCTAGGACCACGTCTGAGAGCTGCTGCTATGGGGAATGGGAGTTTTTCCTTGAAGTGAGGAAATAAAGGGGGAAAAGGAATTGGGTTGACATCTATTCCCTTGGGAATGAAGAGGAGGGGGAGAGGGGCATGAGAACTCCGGCTCAGTGGGGAGCAGCATGTTATGATAAGTCGGAATCAGATAGGGTGGAAATGGTCAGTGCCTGGCGTCCTGGGAACTGACTTTCTTTCGGTACTTCCTCCTCCCCTCCCCCCTTCTCCACCCGCCTGCCCCCGGTATCAGGTGCCGAGGCAGATAGATGTCCAAGGATGAGACCAGGCTGGGGTTCGAGCTTCTTTCTGCCTTGGCACTAGAACCTGAAGGCAGCTTCTTGGCCCTAGCTTCCTGAGCCTACACCTGACTCTTGCCCTGCTGGGTTTGCCACTCATCTCCAGAAAAGGTGGGGCCAGGAAGTGAAGGCAAAATAATTTTGTCCTAAAATAAATCTAATCAGCCTCTTCAGGCCTAATTGGGAATATGCAGCTTCCAGGCTGGAGGAAGAGAGAATCCCAAGGGATGATTAAAGAGGGGAAAAACCATCCTTCAGCTCAATGGCTGAATAAAATGACCCATCAACCACCTGGCCCTTTCTCTGGTGGTGTATGGCAGGAGAGGGAGCTTTGAGCTCCCCCTGGTGGTTATAGAGCGGCACTGTCAGAATGCAAATGCTACTCCTTTTCTTTCCATTTTATTGATTTGAGAGAGAGGGAAAGGGTGTGAAGAGAGGGAGAAAAACGTTGATTTGTTGTTCCACCTATTTATGTAGTCATTGGTTGGTTCTTGTAATTGCCCGACCAGATATCGAACCCACAATCTTGGCTGTTGGGATGACACTCTAACCAACTGAGCTACCCAGCCAGGGCTGCAAATGCTACTCTGTATCACTGTCCCTAGGCTTTCTTGCTACAGTACTGGGTAGCTATTTGAGGCACTTTAGGACATGCTCTCTAATCTTCAAATAATTATACATCTTACAAATTTCTAACAGCTAATTTGGGTGATAAAAGATTATGTTTTAAAACGCAAGTAACTCTGAAGAATTGGGGGATGCTATCAGTCATTCACACCTTACAGTTTGGGAACTGACCTGACACAGACTGAATTCCATTCACTGGGGACAGACCCAGGATTAGGCACTAGAGCAGTTCGGGTGGAAAGGAACAAGCTTGATTTGAGTGGAGGGGAAGATGCCCCGTACTGGTTAGGAGTACACAACAGGCTGGAAGGAGTTAACATGGGGTGAGGTTAAAAGGAGGTAACTCTAGAGATAGGACCTGCAGGACTGGGGATCTTGTCCTTGTACCCTGCTGCTCATTGACCAGCATCCTGCCGGCTCTTGACTGGCTCCCTAGTCCTCCCCTCCTCCCTGCCTACTCCCTCCATCTGGGCCTCTGGACAACAGCTTGCTGGCCCACACCAGTCTCCAGTTCTGTCCTGGCCCTGGGACCCTGGGCCAGACCTGCCTCACAGTTTTCAGGAATCTCTGCAGGTCGCATGCCCAGGCTGCCTGGGAGCCCACGCGTGAGGCCATGAGCGCTCTTGCCAAGGATTGGGCATGCTTTCTGCTCCCAGTGTCTTCACAGATAGTCAATGTCAGATGGCATCCAGTCCCCCCTTACCACCAGGCCCAGCCTCTGTCCCCCAGCTGCTCTCTCCTGCCGCCCCCGCCTTTATTCCCTGCCTTTGCCACCTTCTTCCATCCCTACAGGTTTCCAAGTTGTGGATCATTGGCCTGGACCGGAAGTTCCAGCTCTACCTGTGTCCTGGATTCCTTCCTTAAATGGCTCTTTGACACCCACATTTAGAGACACGCCCTGCTTCTAGTCCTCGGTCCAGCTCTGTCATCCTGGGGAGAGGGGCTCATCCTTGCGACAGTCCTCCATCGAGGCTCGGCTCTGCCACGTCGCCATCCTTGTGACGTGGGCAAATTACCCAACCTGAGAGAGCTTCCGTTTCCTCATTTATAAATAAGAATGATCTTAATAGAGCTGTTGGGATTCAGTGAGTTCTTTATGTCAAGACTTCACACAGAGCCAGACACAAGCAGGTGCTGTCTAATGGCAGCCGTCCTAATTCCTCAGGCCGGGAGGCCCTCACGGACCTTCAGGCATTGCAGTCAGAGGCCTTGAGGCCTGGGCCCAGCGTGGTGGCAGGAGAGATGAAGAGCAGGGCCAGGGCACGTGGGTCCGAGGAGTGGCGTGGCACTCCCGCAGTGTGTTCAGGAGCACGGGGTGCAGAGCCCCGCTGACCCGGACACAGCTGTAGCCTCATGGAGGTGGTGGGTTCATGAAGAAATAGGAATTTCTTTTTCCGCTGTGTTGAGTTTTTTGGCAAGGAGAGGACTTCTAGGAGTACGTTTCTAATAGGCGTTGGGAATGTGGAGTCCAGGCATGGATTTGGAAGCCATCTGCATCCAGATAGATGCACATGGGAGGATGGAGATGCTCTCTGAGGTTCAGGGAGAGGTGGAGCCCTTGGAGTGGCCTGATTTAAACCCACAGTCCTGACTCCTGCTCTCAAGGTGTAGCTTGACTCTGGCTCCCTAACCTTGGCTTCCTGACCACCCTCCTAATCTCTGAATGTGGACGTTGGTGTTTGGATCAGACCATCTGGGACAAACTGCAGTCATGTAGTGGGGAAGCATTCATTACCTTATCCCTGCTTCCTGACACCACTGCCTGGCCAGTCTCCTTGGCCCGCTGGTTCGGCGTGACTCCACCCACATCCCCAGTCAGGGTGTTTTCACTCCAGAGGAGACAGGGAGCCTGAACTGGTGGTGGGTGTGATACCCAGTTTCCTGTCTGGTGTAGCCTGAGGACCATCAATCCTTGTATTTTGGCTCACAGCCAAAGTCCAATTCAAATCTTATATTCTGTTCATTCTGTGCCATTGGCTCCACTCCTCCTGCCGGGTTCTTGAGGACCAAGTAGGCTTTGGACATAAAGATTCTTGGGCTGCAATCAACTCATTTCCCCTAGTTTGATTCTCACATTTGCTCTCCAGAAATGACAGGAGCAAAAAGGCGTCGTGAGAAGATTAACTCAGAAGCAGCGAGAGACCCTTCCTGCCCCCGTTAACTCAGAGCTCTTTTCATGAGCACATGTGTGAGAATCGGGGCTAACTGAGAGGTGGGGGGGACAGCACCCCAAGAGGACACCCTTACTTCTGACACCAACTCCAAGTTCAGGGGATCCCCCAAACCATCCTCAGATTTGATCATTTGCTAGGAGGACTCAAAGAACTCATTGAAAGCTATTGTCCGCGTGGTTATGGTTTCTTGCAGATTAAAATCAGCCGTGAGAAGCAGCCCAGAGTCCCCAGTGTCTCTCCTGTGGAGTCAGGACGTGGAGGCCTGGCACCGAGGTGTCACAGTATGCTCAGGTGTTCCAGCCAGGAAGTGCACCTGAGCCGCTGTGTCCAGAGTTCTTATTGAGGCTCCGTTACGTAGGCACTACCCACTGCCCACGTGGCCGATTCCCTAAATGACACTACTGGTGTGGCACAGAGACCCTCCTTTCAGGAGGATATTCCAGCGGTTTAGAGAATAACTCCCAGAAGCCAGGGGGCAAAGCCAGACATGTCAGGTAAGGTTAGGTTCTTTACTGTATAGCACGAGTAAAAAATAAACAAGTAATTTAAAACGCTCCTTGAGCCATTTTTAACACCTCTCATCTGTTGGACACTAGCAGGACACATCAAATCTCTCACAGAAAGTTATCCTCAGATTCCAAGAACTGATCAGCAGAACAGTTTGGAACAGCCCAGAATGAAATTGGCACAGAATGAGATATAAGACAGTACCAGGAGACCGTGCCACGGGCCAGAAAGGTTGTACGTAAAGGACAGTGGAGGAGAAGATGAGGCAAAATCCGTTCTCCTTCTCGTGGGAAGGCTCAGGTCTCTTCAGGACTGCAGAACCTACCTCGGGTCCAACTTCCCAACGTCTGCTGAAGGAAGCGTTTCGATCATTGACGGTTCTGTATAGAAAATGTCGCCTGCTGTGCGCAGGCAGCCGTGGTCCTAGCTGCTGCCACCTGCAGGTTCGGAAGACTGGGTCACAGCTGGAGGGTCTGATGCTGGCGTGAGTCCCTTTATGGTGCCTAGACCTTTGAAGGGACAGAGTCCTCTCAGTTTCCCATGACATATCTGCCAATGTCACCTGAGCAGAATCAACGCAACTGAGAACCAAAGAGGGGGCAAAATAAGGCGCCCCAAATCCATGATATTTTAGTGCATTTGTAAACCTAATAAATTTGACAGGATAATTTCACAAAGGTGGGCTAGAAATAACTTAGAAAGGAAGATGGGACAGTGAATGTGATGGGTACAGGGGAGGAAGGGGAGCCGTTGTCACAGTGTCACCTGGTGTTTCAGGCCCGTTAGGTGTGAGGCAGGTTCTGGGCCAGGTGCTGGTGGATGCGACAGAGAGTGTTGAAAATGGTCACGTTGAGGCTGCTTCTCATTCCTCATCTCTGGAGCTTCAGCGACATGGAGTGAGGGTTACGTTTCATAGACAATGAGAGTGAGGTTTAGAGTGATGGACAGCTTGCCCTTCGTCACACAAGCTAACCCATTGCAGTAATGTGAGTAAAATTCAGGTCCTGTCCATTTCCCAGCTCGTGGGGTTGGGACGAGAAGACAAATGCCTGTGAGGGAGGGGCAGAACTGTGACAGGCAACCTGCTAAAGAAATATACAACTGAACCATGTAAAAACTCTGACTAGGTAGGGGAGGGTAAGCAAAAATGGATACAGTTAGTTTTCCAGAATAAGGATGTTTTTAAGTAATCCTTCTATCACTGGTTCTCAGAGTGTGGGCTGTGGATCAGCAGCTTTAGCATCCCCTGAGAACATGTTAGAGATGCGAATTTTCAGACCTAACCTCCCATCCCTGGGTCAGCAACTTGCGGTGAGGCCCAGCAAATGTCTGTACAAGCCTTCCCTGGATTCTGGCTCCCACCACCTCCCTGAAAGGGGGCTCTACTTTGCGGCCGATGGTGGGGCTGCTGGCTATGGATGGTGGACAGAGAGCACTGTAATTCATTCTGGAGACCTGTGTGGTTTCCTGGCTGAGTGGCTTTGGGCAATTCAGTTGGCCTTTCTGTTCCTCATCCAAGAAGTCATATGATCACCTACGTCATAGATCGTGTGCACTAAATCAAATACTAAATCAGAGCAAAAGTGACTAACAGTGTCTGGCACTTAGGTGCTCAGTAAATGATGATCTCAGCTTGACATCTGGACAAGAGTAGGCGTCCAGGGAGGAGAAGGAAGTGAAGGAATTGGCTAGATCAGGGGTTGAAGAACTGACCCATGGGCCAGATGTGGCTGTGCCTATTTTTGTACAGCCCATGAACTACGAATGATTTTTATATTTTTAAACGGTTGAAAGAAAATCAAAGCAATATTATATGCCACATGAAAATTATATGAAATTCGCATCTGTGTCCACAAATGGAGGCGTATTGAAGTGGATCCACACTCATCCATCTGCTGACCACCTGTCTCTGCTGTCGCAGCAGAAGAGCCCAGCAGTCGCCACGAACCCACAGGGCCCGCAGAGCCTGCAGTGTTTGCCAGGTGGCTTGTCGTAGAAGCTCACCGAGTACTGGGCTTGAGGGACGACAGAGAAGAGAGATGAGAGATGATGCAGATGCTGATAAGAGCGGTCACTGAGCTCTTACAAACACAGGCCAAGCATTTCTCATGCATTGTATCGTTTCTTATAATACTTATGAAGCAGGCATATCATTCCCATTCTAAGGATGGGGAAACAGGCTTATAACTTGCTCCAGGACACAGAGCCCGTAGGCGTCAGGATTTGCATCGAGGTCCAGCTGCCTTCCCAGCCGAGCTCATGCCCACTGTGCTCTGTTGCCTCATGACGCGAAGTGGGTCAAGCTAGGAGAGGTTTAGTGTCTCTGAGATGCATCGGGCAGGGCTGGGAGGGCAGAGTGCTAGCCAGCTGAAGGGAGACAGGGTGCCTTGTAGTGGGACGAAAACTCAGAAAGGGCGATTAGATTTTAAATGTTTATGTGGCTCATTTAACGGAAAGAGGAAAAGCAGCCGGGACAAGAGAAAGTCCTGACCACAGCAGACACCTCTGGGCTTACATCACGTTGCCTCCCTAGCCCGGCACCAACAGCCACGGGAAAAGTGCTGATCTGCTTCTCCCTCTCTGGTCTGTTCATCAGTCCAGCCTGCTCTGAGGAGGGGCCCTTCTGGGCCCACATCAGCGTGAAGAAGGGAAGGAGAGTCAGCGAGTAGGGACTGGACAGTGCTGTTGCCTTTCAGTCTGTAAAATAAGAATGTCAAGGAACAATTGTTTCTTCATTGCTGTGAATGTGCGCCTTGTGTTTCCAAAGGTCAGCGCCTGTGAGCGCATCGTGGTGTAGAGTGGGTTCCTATGGTAATCAGGCCATCGTGACTGAGGGCGTTCTGTGTGGACAGCGGGCGCTGGGTTTTCGCCTTTCTGAGCGGTGCCTGCTTGTTTCCTGCAAGTGTAACCATTTCTGCCCCCCCCCCCTTTTGTTTTCATCCTTCTGCGCACACACAGTTCTGGAGTCAGAGAATTCCTCCGCAGGTACGGTTTGCATTCGTTCTATCCTTGCCTTTCACCAGGACCCTCCAAAGGGAGGGGAACCAGGGAGTGTTCCTTGTGAGTGAGGGTTTTCTATGTTCTGTTTTCCATCTCAGATGAGTGGAGGCTTTCTTCCAATGCTGATGCCAATGGAAACGCCCAGCCCTCCTCACTCGCTGCCAAGGGCTACAGAAGTGTGCATCCCAACCTTCCTTCCGACAAGCCCCAGGTAGGCATGTGCCCAGGGCGGGGTGGGCACTGGTGGTTGGTGCCTGTTCTGAAGTCTTTTAGCCTTAGTTTGTACTTACAGCGTGCTCAGCTGGATAATAGGCTGGGTTCAGAGCTGTGTTGTTGGCCAACTCTGGAAAAACTGCAGGGACCAGGGCTGGGGAGAAGTTGGGGGTGAGGGAAGCAGAGACGAGATGAGGTTGGTCTGAACCAGGGTGTTGGAAATACAGGCCTGATGTTTTAGAGTTTTGAAGTGTGTTTAGGGATTTTCTGAAACAGGGAATCCATTTGGCCTTGAATAGTGGGGAACAGTTCTGAGCCTATTTGTTAAAAACTCTTTAGAGCATAATATTCAAGAGTGCACGCTTGTGTTTATTCTGTTAACCGGCTGCAGGTGGGGCTGTAAGCGTTCTAGCAACTCTGTCTTTTCAGATGAAGATCTGGTAACTGTGGCCAGACCCTCATCCCCTGGCCCAGGAGCGGGCAGCTGGAAGTCAGAACACCAGTACCGCGGGGTTTAAACCGCCTAGCCCTACCCTACAAAAGAAGACCCCAAGGTGTAAACTTAGAGTAGGGATCATTTTGCTTAAGCCTTTCTCCCTGGATTGTTTTCTTGATCTTTCTTCCCTCCCAACCCTGTGGCTGCTTCGCCAATTCGACGAAAGGAATAGATCCTGCTTTGACTCAGGCAGTCTGTGAGGAGTGTTTTTACATAGAGGGGCCGCATGCATGGAACTGAGCGGTCCTTCCTTTTAAAGGATGCTGTGCTGCCCAAAACACGTTGCAGACATGTGTTCCTCGTGTGGTCCTCTCCCCTGTGCCTGCCTCCTGCCAGGGTGCTCCCAGAACTCACCAGGAGCCCAGGAACTGTGCGTTTTCTCCCTGGCTCCCACACTCCTTCTCCAGTGAGCCTCTGGCTTCTGTTCTGAGGACATGAAATTGCACTGGCCCCTGAAATGAAACCGAGTCAGAGATAGCGCACCCCCGGGCCTCAAGCTGGTCGCGTACTTGTCTACCGTGTGTGCTGAACAGCGTCGCCAAGTCTTTGCGCTCCCCCCCCCCCCCCGCGCTTGCCTCCCAGGGCCACTGGTGAGAACCAGGAGTTCGAATGCCCCTCCTGAAGTCTTCATAGACGCGGGCACGTGGGAGGGCAGCTGTCCAGCAGCTGACGTGCCTGGTTTTCCTCTCCAAGACCTTCCCGGTGCACAGAGCACCTGTGCGGACCGGCTCCCTTCTCAGCTCTCAGGAACGGAGGCAGCTGGCTCAGCGCAGGCTGGGGCACTGCCGGCCCCTTCGGGCGCACGCGGAGCCCGCCCTCTTCCACTCTGGGGCTCAGTCAAGGACCGCACGCTGCTTCCTTCCGGCTTCTTAAACAACTCTTTGAGAGAGGATTTTTAAAAGCATGTGAAGTAAACAAAAATTACTTCAAATGCATTCTTTTCCTGCAGCTTCATTGGGTGCTTCTGTCCAGATCACTGTGTTGAGCGTCGCCCTCGGGGAGTGTGTAAGCCTTATAACAAGTGTGCGCATCCTGCAACACCGCCTACGCATAGCGTATTTTCTCATCTGTCACTATCCCAAACTTTTCTCTTGATGGAGTATCTTAAAGGGAGCCTGGCAGGTTGCTGCCAGAGAGTTTAATTCTGTATATTCAGTGTAAAGTTGCCCATCCAAATTCCGAGAACCTTTAGGTCATGTGTTACCTTTTGAACTTGTCTGCTGAAGGTAGAAATGGCTTCTTGTCTGCGGAACCATTGCCGAGCTGCAGTACACTCTGGCTCAGGGAGAGCCGAGGGGCCGGGCTGGGAGCTGCCCTGGCTTGGTCTCAGCGGAGGGAAGCTCTCGGATCCCTGCAGACCTGGCCTCTCCGCAGAAGTACTGAATTGGGGTCCAGGAGCCTAAGGGCAGGGAAGGGGGAACCTGCCCTGGAGGCCCCCACAGGCTGTTTTCCCTCCTGCCAGCCTGGGCCCGTGCCTGCTGTCCTCGCCCCCAGCTGCAGGGAGCCGGGGCTGCCCGCTCTCTGGCAGCATCATGCCGGTGTCCCCGTGGCGGCGGGAGCTGGCAGTTTCTGGAACGGTATAAACCAGGAACATGCAAGATGCTTCCCAGCAGCCCATCTTTTCACTGCCTCCCCTTCTAATACGAGAAAAGAAATGTCATTAGCAGCCTGCTGGGGAGGATGCAAACTGCCTGTGTGGTTCCTACAATTGTGCAGCGAAACAGGAAGCAGTTCCTTCCACGCGCAGGGCTGTGCCCATCCCCTCCTTCTGTAGGTCCTGTAGGGCTGAAGGGAGCCCAGGAAGGAAGGCCTTGGCTCTGAGTGCATTGTCAACACTGGGAGCATCCTCTCTGCAGGGTCAAAGCCCTGGGAAGGCTCGTGCCGGCTGGAATGCAGCATGGCACCATATATGGCCACCGCCCAATTAGGTTAAAAACTCATTGCAGTAGATTTCTATCTTTGGACAAGAAGGAATCACATGGGGGACACTCGAGCTCAAAGCAGAAGTACATCTGAGCCTAATTCACAATTGTCTTTTACTTACTTCCCTGACGACCATTATCAACTTACCCCACAGTCCCTTTGCTGTTAATTGAAGCGTTCGTTTCTTGAGAGCATCGTTTAGTCTGTGAACGTGCCCGACCTCCAGCTTGCGTTCACTGAAACCAGGAGAGCACATCTGGAAGGCTGTGCCCCTGGCGCCTACCGAAGAGAGGCCGCCCGCTTTGTCTTTTATGGCTGATGTGTACGGCCCATAAGGCCGCATTCCACAGGCACCCTCCTGGGCACCCCGTGGGAAGGATGGGCATCTAGTTACCTCAGGGACCCAAACAGTCTCTTCTCCATCCAGATTATTTGAAAACTGGGTTTGTTAAGGGATAGGTTGTTTACTGTTTCTGAGTTGATATTCTATCCCAGACTCAAAACTTTTTTATTTTCACCTGCTCACCCTTGCTAACATCCTTACCCCTTTCTGCCTACACACCACAAAAAATAAAAATAAAATAAAAAACCACCTCAAATAACCCCTATCCTTGCACCCTCATAGGTTTTGGTCACAACGCATTTACCAGATAGTGACAAACGCTAATACAGCTCACCTGTGCCGTTTGGCGGACGGTTATCTTTAAAGATAGGGGCCAGGGAAGAATGCCTGGGTGTCTCAGCTTGGGCGACTGTAACAAAACACCGCAGTTGGGTGGCTTAAACAACAGACATTTCTTCCTCACAGTTCTGGAGGCTGGGAGGACCAAATCAAGGTGCTGCCTGTTTGGTTCCTGGTTTGGGCTCTCTTCCCCCTCGTAGGTGGCTGACTCCTCACCGAGACCTCACATGGTGGAAACAGAGAGAGAGAGCTCTGGTCACTTCCTTTCCCTATGAAGACACTAATCCACATCATGGGGACCCACCCTCTTGACCTTATGTAACCCTAAGTGCCTCCCAAAGGCCCTCCTTTAAAAATCATTACTTGGGCCCTGGCCAGTTTGGCTCAGCAGTTAGAGCGTTGGCCCGCGGACCAATGAGTCACGGGTTTGATTCCAGCCAAGGGCATGTACCTTGGTTGCAGTTAGTCCCTGGCCCTGGTCAGGGTCATGCAGGGTCACCTGTCGATGTGTCCCTCTCACGTCGATGTTTTTCTCTCCCCCCCTTCCCCCTTCTCCCCACTCTATCTCAAGATAAATAGGGAAATATCCTCTGGTGAGGATTATTTTTTTTAAAACTATTACTTGGGGTTAGGGACTCAGCATGTGAATTTTGGGGGACACAGACATTCAGCCATAACACTAGGAAAATAAACTTTGCTCCTCTTATGTTCTCATTCCTGGCTGAGCCACAGGCTGATGGATGGCTCTCAGTCAGGAGACTCACCCCATTTCCTGGCTCTCTGTTCTGTCGAGACCCAGGGAAGAGCCATGCTGAGGGAGAGAGAAGGAGATGTGATCTATAGCTTTCTAGCTCTGCGTCTGGAACTGAGCTTTGGGCGGAAGCCAGGAGCCGGGGGCTGATCACTTCCTCCAGCGTCCTCTGCCTCCTAGGGGCGGGGTGGGAATGGGGAGAGGGCTGGAGTTTGGTGAACCAGGTGCAGTCCAATCTGTCAGCGAATCCAGTGCTTCATTGTTGACCCTTGTTCTGTGCACATCAAAACTTGGAGACTGCAGGCTTTTTAGTGTCGTGCCTGTCTCCCTCCTGACAATGAGCTCCATCGAGCTGCTTCCTCCGAGAAGGAGCACGTGTGGATTCTCAGTCCTTAGTCTTGGCGAGCGGTGATGTGTTATGCTTATGGCACTGAGTGCTGAATCGCAGGGATTCGATGAAGACATCTGTCTCCTATGAGCACAAATAAGGATGACTCTTCCGGTTCCCCAGTTCCTAAGGGAAAAGAATGAAAGACGCTTGAGAGTTTCAGTGAACTTAAGCTTTCAGAGCCAAAGGCATAAAGAGAAGGATCTTTGAGGAAAGGAGGGGTAGAAAATTGGGGGCTTGGGGCTTCTTCCACTGGCTTTTAGCCCTCGGGCACCCTTCTTCAGTCAGGAGGTCTACAAGGGAGCGGGTCCGCCAACGGCCGGTGTCCGCGCTGTCTCACGCGTGGCCTCCCTGGGCTGAGCTCAGCCTCCCTGGGAGGTAAGGGGGGAGCGTGCCTGCCTCTCCAGGTGAGTATGATTCAGTCTTTGACTTGACCCAGAAGAGAAATGTATAAGTTGAGGGTTTGCTTAAAAACGTGTCTAGAATTGTTTGGTCTGCAGATCGTGTTATGCTGTCAGTCTAATGGTCATCCTTCTTTCCATTCCCCTCCTCTCTCTTTTCCCTGTCTTGATATTGTTTGAAAATAATATTAAAGGTTCTCTCTCCCCCACGCCCTCCTCTCCCCAGAGAGGGCTGCTTTGCATGGCAGCCCCCTGCTCCCCACGGCACCTACAAGGACTCGCTGTACCGGAGCTCACCAAAGCCTTACATCCCACCCGGCACCCCCAGCCAGCAGAGCCCCTTGCCACCCCAGCCTG